TTCTGATCCAGATTCTATCATGTAGGAATTTCCATGAAATTGTAGTAATCATAATCATTACCAGTGTTGGGAAAATATCAAAAAATCAAATCTCACCAACGCCCAAGATCACGCTTGATTTTCATAGACAAAAATCAACAAGCAAACAACTGCGGTTGATTTTGTAAGCTGCGATATCGCAGCTCGGAATATCAAGCTAGCAAAACTCACCAGCTGCAAATCTCAACAAACTGTGGTGAGATTGAGTTTCATGATTTTTGTTTTACACCCGAATGCAACCGAAACTTCCATAACGGCTGGCAGCAGTCTCTTCGTGTCTGCCCTCGGTGAAGAGTAAAAAGAGATAGCAAACTATACTTTCTCTTTCTAAGAAAACGATGTGCAACGGAATCATTTTTGTATCGAGTCAACTCTCGGCTTGATTTTTGCACGTTGTGAATATTCTCGCAATATCAAAGGAGCTTGTAAAATCAATATCAAGTATGATATTTTGTTCCAATATCACGCGTGATATTGCGAGCGCATGAGAGTGGAAAAATATCAATTGATATCTGATTTTGCCAACACTGTTCATTACTATTTCTATGGTATCATCCTGCAAAAACTGCTTTGATCGCCACGATGGATTTTTGATATTTGGTTTATTGGTAGTAGTTTAAAAAAAATCTGGATACTCTACAAAGATTCAGTTTGTAGTAAGTTTTCTGGCTGAATGTCGTGAGTTTGTAAGCATTCCTGACATTGCTTTATAGCGTCATAAAATTGCGGTGTTGCTAGTTTAAATATTAGGTGGACAAACAGGCGAACTAAGAGGTGGACGCCTAAGCCTTTTCACAGTTATATTGCTGTAAAGCAACTGTAAACTCTAGAGGAAATTTATATCTGTAACTGTAACCAGCAGTGATGGCATAATAATTAGTAAATTTATATTTTTATTTTTGATATTGGAGCAAAATAGCATGCTTGATATTGATTTTATAAGCGCCTTTGATATTGCAAGACTATTCAAAACGTGTACAGTTGAAGCTGAGAGTTGAATCAACGCAAACATGTTTCCGTTGCACCTCGTTTTCTTAGAAAGAGAAGATATCATAATGCTATCTCGTTTTTCTCTTCACCGATGGCAGCCACGAAGCGACTGCTGCGAGCCGTTATGGAAGATTCAGTTGCGGTCGGGCGTAATGCAAAACTCATGAAACTCAATCTCACCACAGTTTGGTGAGATTTGCGGCTGGTGAGTTTTGTTAGCTTGAAATTCCGAGCTGCGATATCATAGCTTGCAATATCAACCGCAGTAGTTTGCTTGTTGATTTTTGTCTATGAAAATCAAGCGTGATCTTGTTCTTTAATGATTTTTGATTTTATGATATTTTTCCAAGACCTGTAAGCAGTTAGTTTTTATTTGCTAACCTGGTTAAAATGTCATATTTGATTATCGTAAAGATAAATCGTCCAGCTCAAACCTTTGTAGGGGTAAGAGGTGGGACTATAATCATCATCATCATCATCCTCAGAATTTACCTTAAAATCTGGTTAGAGTTCCTTTGTATTTCTTCAGCAAATTATATTTCAATTGCCATGGATTTCTCTAGAAGATGTTCTTGAATTATACCAATTTTCATCAAAATTCCCTGAAAAGTTCTTCCCCGTTAAATAATTTAAGAGCCTTGATAATTCTATAGGGAACAAAATTTTCAATATTTTTTTTTTAAATGTGGGATATTGGCAATTCGGAAAGTCCGAAAACTTCAGTATTTCTGTAAGTTCTAATCATATTTCTTTTCGAAATTTCGGTATTGTTTTCCAACGGAGATTTCTCAACTTCATCGCTAAAACACTGCAAAGCCTCTTCCATATTTGTTCCCCTGGAGAAAATCCCAGATTTTGTTAAGCAATTGTGGAGCATGATAATTTGTTGTCAACTATTTTGTTGGTAAATAAGAGTGGAAATTCGCCTTACCCTTCTGCCTTTGCAGTGCATTTCATAGAAAAATTACTGAGTGAAAACTCGTTGGATTCGCCCCTTTGGCATGTCGCTCATGGCCATTCTCGCCACCCCTACGTCCCTGCACTTGAATAAAAAGTGAATTGATAGTTGAAAAATACAACCATAACAAGGGTTTCATTTACTTTTTAACCTTTCCGAAAAATTCACATCACAGCGCTATAGAAACGCACGGAATTCGCGCCAGCTGTAACAACCCGGAACGTAATTATAGACAGTCACATAAAATACTTGCAGATGCAAAAAATCGCAAGTCTGACAACTGAAAAGTTGATGCAATAAATTTTGATATACTTGCACAAGTTCAATCGCATTGTGAGTCAAAGTCAAAATAAAACCGATGTCGGCAGTAAATTGTTAACTGATCCAAAAAACCTAGGTTTCCGATCAATCTTCTGTGTCGTTCGGTTTGCTGAAGCATGGAATGATACTGATTATTAAAATGAATCCTGCACGTGACGTTTTTCTGATTCTCGCTGCTAGGACCAGGAGAAAATGGAACGACATGTGACACCAAAGAATGCTAACCGTCATTACGGAGTGGAACCAGGCTAATTGAGCTGTATTCAGACGCGGAGGATCACTCCTACAGGCACATTGAAGGTCATTGCTAATCTCAAGCTAATTTGCATAAGTAAAGCTCATCTGAAAGAAACGAAGTAGGAACCACGGACAGTCAATCAAGCTCAAGTTCAAGCAGAAAACTTGGATTTGAATATAGATTCAATGCTTGTCGTACTCCAAACGGATCGAGAAGATCAATTCTTTTGCTGAATTTTCTCATTTTCAATACTGATGCCGATCTTCTCAAATGACAGTTCATTTCTTGCGTAAAATCTTGCCTCGCTTTTTAATAAACGTTATATACCTATAAATAGTGCTTAATGATGGATTATTCGGGTGGCTTTCTCAGTGTTGTTATTGAAACGATGGTAAACCTTCTATATAATTATCTTTAAAATGTTGTTTCGTACGTAAACGAATAAACTTTTACGATTCAAGCATTTGATTCATCAAACAATAATCGTTTCGACTTCCCCAATAACGCCTCTGATTGCCTGAAGCTTCCTTACGACCCTCTATCTTGTTGAGCCAAGATACGATAAACCAATCAAAACACTCATTCCATCCCAACAACAGACAGTGAATTCTTCAATAACCTCTATTTTCACTACCACCACATACTGCCTGTCAATCCGTATTGAAACCGACCCTAGCCTTGACCTTTCGGGGTGATAATCGATACACACAGGCAAAAACCCCGACAGTCCCCATACAAGAGCGCAAAGGACACAGCGCAGCAGCGCTGTGCACTCGCACGTGCACTCATCATTTAACCCCCCCGCCCCCTTAACAGCTATTGGACAGGTGGAACCAGTTTCGAAAAATAAAAAAAAAAAAGTCAAACATCCAAAGTGATCGAAAAAAGCATCCAAGCCACCACCGGTTGCGTCGTCATCAGCAACAATCGATGGAACTCCAATTGCAATAACAATGAAACACGACACGGTAGCGGAAAAAAAAGGTGCAAATTATTGAATACAATGCAATTATGACAGCGCGGTTGGAGAGGTTCGTTTTCTTTTTGGTTTTTGGTGGAATCGTATCTTAAGCCATGTGTTCGGGTTCGGGAGGTTCGTTTGCTCTTGCTCGCATTCACCCGCTCGCCCCTGCCTGTGGATGCGGATTAGGCACTTTTGTCTTTCAATTAGTAATGTAGTGTATGTCATGGGTTTTCTGTTTTCGGGTAGTCTTGGTTTTATTTACACTGTAAAAAACAATTGTCACTTAGAATCACTAATGGAACGCGATTAAGCAGCTTAAAGTTAGATTGATAATACATTTACACATGGTTACATTTATACAGAGAGCAGCCCTGGGCGCTCATCGATTTTTGGGAGTTAATCTCTCTTCGAATGTGAAATGCTCTTCAGTACGGTGCAACAAATTTTCGCTTGTATTCTCACTATCCGCATTAAGTACATCGGCGTCATTATCACTAGAATGGTACTACTACTACTACTACTAATAATCATCATCTAAGCCTAGCAGCGCCGCTAGGTAGCTATCGACTAACCGCTCTAGTGCACCAACGGAAGTGTAGTAGAGGAACACCCCTAGCGAAATCAATAGCAGTGCTATCGAAAGAGAGGAGTACGAAAAGATGTGGTGCTGTGTAGAATGGTTGGAACGTTGGTCGTGACGGTGTTGTTCCTGGTGATTGTTCATCATCATCCGACCAGTGTTGGTGTTGTTCTTGTTGGTGCATTCGGTGCTACTGCCGTCCATACCTCCGGCTGAGGTAGGGCCTACAGGTTTGGGAACGGTAGTTGGAATGGTGGTAGTAGGAGGCGGAATGGATGGACTAGTACTAGGGGAAGGTAATGGGACTGTGGATGGAATGAGGGAATCGGGACTGTCGGTATCAGATCCGGATGGGGATCCTTGGGCAAGATTACCATTTTCATCCTAATTCGAATGAAGAGAATAGATTTGCTTTGAATTTGCGACGGAATTCGCAAAACGTCACTTGGATGCAATCCTCATGTAAGACCGAAGCGACAGATATACCAATGTACATATTATGAGTTAAAAAAGCATGCGTTGTACTATGATCTATGAGATTGAAGTCCTCAGCGGCTAAAACAAAACCTGCAATGTACTCTACTCTATATCTACAAAGCACCTGTACATGAAAGTCTACAGAGATACCCTTCCGGGATGTCGGGATGTAAATATGGTGGTGGTGGTGGTGGTCTACTATTAAATAGTGATGATGATGGTTGGTTGGTATTTGTAGTGATGTGGATTCTAACGGAATGACAACCAGCTACTACTGGCCACTGGCGGCGGCAGCAGCAGCGACGAGCTGTCCGTGTGCGGGATGTTCTAGGAAGAATCGATCGAAACCGACCATCCGAGCGAATGGCGGCTGAAAGGCGAAATTGACGAGACAGACGGCGACCAGAAAGCGGCCGACGCACGCGATACTTACAATATTGCCAAACTTCTCGTAGCTGCGGCGTTTCTTCGCCCGTTTCGTTGTGTCGGCATGTGGGGAAGCCACTGTGAATAAACAGAACCTGCTTTAGAAACGAAATCAAAGTTATACAAATAGGCAAATTACTTGGACTAGATTCTGCGCCCAGCACCTTCCGGCTACGCTTGATGCGTTCCTCTTCGTTGGCGTGGTGGTAGTTGGATGACTTTCTCGCACCGGCACCACCGGGACCGGCAACAATGACCGGAACGGCGGCCGGTGCAGCTGCTGTTGCTGCTGCTGCGTTCATAGCGGCCATCCGGTTGGCCGCGAACCTTCGTAATTTGGAAAACTCTTCCATGCTGTCGATCTGTTGCTTCTGCTTGAACTCGGCGTAGTCCAGCTTCGGGTGCTTGACGTGCGGAATCTCTCCACGGAACACTTCGCATATCTGCTCCAGATAGTTGAGCCACAGCTTGGAATCGGCACCGGCCAGCGTTAGGGACTCCTGACCGGACATGATCCGTGGGATTCCTGCATTGGAGGAAGCAAGCAACGCTCAGTGTCCAATCGATTCGATCCCCGAAACGATTGGTTGGCTGTATGGTTTGGAAGGTGCAAATTTAGCCGAAGAATAGTAATTGCGCTGACGTTTCGACCCTGGTTTGGGGCCTTCTTTAGGACTATTAGAATTTTTTTTAGCTAAACAATCCGAAAGAAAGTTCCTAATCCAGACCAAAAAAAAAAACAACATTTGCAGTAATGCATCCCATATTGTGGCTAGAATTTCAAACAACTTTCCAGAAATTACTTCAAAAACTCATCCGAAAATGCTCCCTCTTATGACAAAAGAAAGCAATAGTGCTTGAGATCATCGTATAGAAAGTTATCACAATCTGAATCGATCGATCCTTTGTAATTCCTAAAGGAAAAATTGATGATATCTTCTTCTTCTTCACATTTCAAGTTTATCGCTTATCGCGTATTAGCATATTGCGTACTCTCAATTTCGTGTTCAAGATGCACTTCCACAGTTATTAATCAAGGACTTTCGATACCTGTACCATTTTTAAATTAGTATAATTGTATGGCAAATACAATCATACTCTATGCCAGTGTTAGGAAAATCATTCTCAAGTCTCATTCATTGAGCTTCTCTGAGAGAATACACTCACGTGCTACTATGGCAAGCAAAACTCATGCTTGAGATTTTCGTGCATATTTACGCACTCACACTCACAATACCGAAAAATCATTCCAGCTTAAAACTCAGAGAAACCGCTGAAACGTTAAATGATAGCATATTTATGCACGTTGTGCTTATTTTTCGTCCCCTGATGCAAAAATAATAGCTATAACAATGAATAGCTTCAACATATAAAGAAATGAATTTCTTACAGAAATTCCAGAATCTTAAAAATGTCTCATGTTTAAAGTATCTATAGTTAGATTTTTGTTCGTAGTCCTCAGTCTATAATTGTAACTTGAAGTCAGAACTTGGCGAAGTTCCAAAATCTTAGAAATTTTCGAATGCTAAGGACAGTGTTCACTCGACTGTCGACAGAAACAGGGCACTCTCGATGTGTGTCACGCGATCGTCTATTTACTCGGCAGCAACCATTGTGTGGTTCTCCTCATTGCTCTTCATCAGCAGTTCTTTCAGTCGATGCGTCGTCGACTTTGGAAAGCAACCGTTTCGTGATGAATGTGTGAGTGCTGACCACGTTTTGCGTCCATTGCTGCAATGGAAGCGCTCTGACTCCTGTTGGCTATACTGCCATACAATGAAACCACTGGAAGCGGCTTATTGGATAGCGGAAGATAGAGTGTTTATTGTGTTGTACCTTTTGACTGTAGTTTTAAGATGTATTGTATAGTGAACAAGAATCCTCGGCTCTGTAAAGTTAACTCAATTGAGCCTTATAAAATAAATTTATATAAAAAAAAAAGAATTCTAAGGCTTTCAGTTTTTTTTCAAAATCCGCAAATTACGAAGTCTTGAAATCTTTTAAAACTACATATATTTAGAATAAAAGCAATATTCAACTTCTAAACCTACACACTATTTAGAGCCCCAGGATAGCACAACATTTTCAAAGTCTCATAACCTTGAAAATTTTACACTAAAGAATCACTGTCCCGGAATTTTAAAAATGTTTAATTTTTAAAATCTTGATAGTTTGAATATGATTTTTCCTAGTTAAATTTTAAATTCAGAAACTTTTAAACATTGCTGTTCAATATTGAAAAAATCTAAGCCTTAATTTTTGTATGTTCCAGAATCATAGAACTTTCTAGTATTTTATGCAGTACTTTGAAAAAAATTGTCAGCTCCAGAGATTTTTTTAGGTCCTAAAAATGTTTCTATTCCACAGAATCTTGCATTTTCTTCTTCTTTGAGTCTAAACTTCATAAATGTTAACTCCAGAAAACATGAAAATTCGGTAAATAACTGAAAAAGTAGCTAATTAAAGGTCCCAAAACTTTATAAAAGTACTCAGTATTGCTCGATTTGTTCTTATCTGAGGAAATCTAGAGCCTTTGGAGATTCTCAGTTTTCAAAATGCAAATCGTTTACAAATGGCCAATCTACAGTTAATGCTGAAATTCACTATTTGGCCAGAAACTGCTCAGCTACTACATATCAGCGCAATCGATTTCATCCCTCTAAAATGTGCACCCCCAAACCATACAGCACCACCGCCGACCCGTCGTCCCAAACTCACCTAGATGATCTTCGAAGATGGAAATGGCCAGCTCGTTGCACTCGTCCGGCGCACACCCATCCAGTTCCTCCAGGTTCACCAAATCCGGCCGATATCGGTTGATCAGAGTGCACAGCACTCGGCCGTTGGTGAAGCACTGGGAGGCATCCGTCAGCTCTTGCACGAAATCGTTTCCCTTGAGCTGTGACTTGACCCACCGCAGCAGCACGGTACCCAACGGTACCGTATCGTTGGTTCGTCGCTTGCGCTTGGTGATGGTAACTTCCGGTCCGGCTGTGAGCGAGTTCGTATCCAGGAACATTTGATCTAACAGTGCCGGGTCGTCCGTATCCAGTAGGTGCTTCACCTGGATCATGTTCACAGACGATTTATTCAGGTTGGGATACCGAGTGGACGGATCCAACGTGTACGCTCCGATGTCCCGGTGTAGATTCTCCGGAGTTGTTTGTGCGAGCAGTCGGTAGATGGATTCCCGCTGCGCAAGCACCGCCAGAAGGCTGTTCTTCGGATTGGAAAACAGTTTTATCGCGTAAGCGGCGTCCATACTGGACAGGAACCCTCTAGCACAGCCAGATCCGGTGGGCCAGAACGGTTCCAGTAGACTGTCACCCACGAGGCAGGAAAGTAACCGGTAGTTCTTGCGGACTGTAATTTTACACGAATTGTCTGCTGCGAACATCGATGTAAAGTCGAACATCGCCACGTCCGGTTTGCCGTAGTGGTTGACGGCGAACTCCAGGTTCGGCATTTGATATTTGGTGGAAAAATTCGCTGCTTCCCGGGCATAGTCCAGCAGTTTGGCGGTATCTACATTCGCAGACGATAGCAGTTCAGCCGGATCGCCGTAGTCCTGAATTATCACACCTTTATCCAGAAGGCTGTGCTTTTTGGCCGTCATTACGAAGTAATGCGTTTCGTCTTTGTAGTAGACTATGTTCTCCAAATCGATACCGGTCGTTTGGTATAGCTCCTTGAAGAACGACTGATTGAAGATGAACGCTACGCCACTGATTTCTTCGACCTTGGCTTCCGCTTCGGTTTTCTTGTTGATGAAGTTGGCAGTTATGGCAATGGCGAGCTTTCCGCGGAATTCCTTCCGTTTGAAACCTTCGAGCGTGTTTCGTTTACCGTCGGCACCGATCAGTACGTCAAACTCGTAGTGCGATACGGCGTGGTCCTCCGGGGAGACGGCCGCTCGCCAACCGCAGCCATCTTTGGGTTCGAGCTCACGCTCGAAGGACAATCCTTCGTGCACTTCGACACCCAACAGCAGGGCCACCTTCAGCAGGATGCACTGCAACTGCCGGATCGAGATGTGATCGATCGAGCCGGCACAGAACTTACCGTAGAATTTTTTCGCTCCGAGCGCCTTGAGATCGGTGATCAGAAATGGCCACAGATGTAGTACGTTATTCCTAGAAATCCTATCACGTTTTTCTACCACAACCTGCACGATAGTACCGGCACACACGATGGACAAAAGTTACTCAGTCAATTGTAAGATCTTCAATTTGAGATAAGGGGGGAAAGGAGCGGGGTACTTACCACTTTAGCACCGAGCAGTTGTGCTTCGATTGCCGAACGCAGACCGCAGGGTCCTGCGCCGATGACTAGTACACGGGTGCCGCTGGCGGCAGTGCCTTTGTTGTAGACCCGGTGGGAGGCACGGGCGTCGAACTTTTTCCACAAGGCCTGCGCCTTCCAATTGCGAATTTTCGCTTTGAACTTTGGATAGAACTCGTTCAGAGGGCCCGGCCTCAGACCGAGGATATCACACATGTTTCTGTATAGGCCGAGCACCTGGCGCATGGTGGTCGCGGCGCAGAAATGGTCGAACATTTCCGCCACCAGCGCGGCCGCCTCGTGTTCGCTGATTGTGGGATTCATTCTGGAATTGAAGAAAAAGGGAAACATTGTAGACATGGTTGTGAACGTTGAAGCATGAAACGTAGATTGATTTGCATCAATTCTTTGGCTCATTGTAGAATAGGAAGTAAAACCCTGACAGTAGTGATTGGGCTTAATAGCTATCCGCATACTTCTTCTTAACGGCATTCGATCAAGGCTTAAAATCCGTAACGAGATGGATTACCCTTATCGTATGTAAGCGTGCCATTTCCTCCTCTTCGACAGATGAATCATCGTATACAACAAAGACTATATATATGTTCCTTAGTTATAAATCTGTAGGATTCAATGTCACTGATTTATTAACACAAAGCCTAACAACTTTGTCACTCCACTGAACTCTCAATCCCACACCCGACAATTTCTCCACCAAACCTCACAACTTTCCTCAACGCTAGTAAGCCACAGTGATCCACTCCATCTACGATCGGATCCTACGCTGTCGTGTGCCGGAGACTCCGTGTCTCCTCTGTTACCGGAATATAGCGACCAGCAGAATTCTCAAACGACCGACCGACACACCCGACTAATAAACGCCGTCAACGCGAAAACAATTAACACCCACTCACGCGAACTCGTCAACTGCAACTGAACCGCGGAACCGTGGCACCAGCGAGAATCATTCACTACCAAACAAAAACACGTTCACTTTCGATAGAGATATGAAAATCACACCCCGCAATCGTCAGAAGAAGAAGAAAGAAGCAACCCACGACGGCAACCCGTTGAGTTCGTTGACGAAATTCTTGTCTCCCACCAAGGTCTCTCGATGGCACCCCTCGGACCGGTACCACCCTCGTCGCATAGCGCGAGGAAACCAAACTTCGTAGGAAGCCAATTCGCACCAAAGCGATCATATTGACCTTAGATGGTCAAAACAACGCTTCACTTAATTGCCACTACCAACATCATCCATTGATTGCTCCAACGGTGGTGGTGGTGGTGGTGGACAAACACGAAAGGCCTTTTCCTCTTGGTTGATTCATTGTTGCCTGGTTCGAAATCTACGCGGTGTGCAATATACCACCAACCAACCACAAAGACACACACACACAGACATGCGACATTGTCGTCTAGTAAACGGTAGATATAGCGAAATCATAAAAATTCAAATCTTATCTCAAGAGCGCCCGTCGCCAGTGTCGCGTGCACACGACAGGCTCAATGAAACTTCCTTTTGACCATATTTAGCAAAAGCTGTCAATTGGCATCATTATCGGGGTGGAGAGACATGGTGCCTACATTCTGAGAATAGCAGTACGGAAGTGTACCATCCCATGCTTATGAGCGAAGCCATGCTTAACGGTTAGGCTTAAGGTTGTGAGGATTCCAGGTAGTTGCGGATAGGGTTACCAATCGGTTTAGGAATTAAATTTTCCAAGAAATTTTAAAACTTTTCTGGTGCATATCGGTCTATAAGTATAATATCACTTGAAAAACAAATTATCGCTCAGTTCGACGGAATCGGAAAGGTATGTATTTGTGTGTACGTGGTAATCATTGACTTTCCTCAGAGAAAGTCGAATCAATTTGATGACAACCAGTTTAATTTGGCATATATTTGACTCGCATAGACTGATACTGAATTGTATCTAGATTGGACATTTGGTTCCGTAGATATGGTCTAAAAGTGAAACTCTTACCTTGTATGAGAATGGCACATGCTTCTTTTTTTTTCTCGCATTTCAAGCTTATCGCTTATCGCGTATTAGCTTATTGCGTGCTCTCAGCTTAGTGTTCTAGATGCAGTACAGTTATTAATTGAGAACTTTCGATGCCTGTACCATTTTTGCATTAGTATAATTGTGTGGCAAGTACAAGCATACTCTATGCCCAGGGAAGTCGAGACATTTTCGAACCCGAAAAATTCCTAGATCTGGTCTTGCTTTGTAGCTGCGCCTTTACCAATTGAGCACATACAGAGCTGGTAGATGTCATAGATCTTATCTTATAGGGGAAAAATGTCACGACATTTTTCTCTCACAGGATTTCATGATCATTTTTTTTTTTATCTTCAAATGGGGATTAATCTGAGATTATTTCTATTTTTCCATTCTCCCCTTCTAATAGAAAACTGCAAGAAATTTTGCCATTCTCACTGTCCCTTCCTCTTTCATAACCTGGTCACGGTGTTTTACCCCATATTATTTAGCCAAAACGAATCATCGAATCTCGTTTGGTCAAATTGTTGTTCAGAAACTCCCACCTACCGTCCTCAATGTCTTGTCCATCTGCTCAACTTTACCTAAGATGGAAACCTTCTATCTAGTCGAGATGTTAAGTTAATGCAAACAATGAAAAATAATTCACACTAACGCCGCCTGGTGAGTGAAGTCTGAGCTGAACTCTCTTCCATAATATAGGTATTGTCCATCTGAACATCTTTGCCCAAGTCGGGAACCTTCTATCTAGTCTAGATGTTAAGTTAGGGCACAAACAGTGAAAAATTATTGTCCCACTAGCGCCACCTGGTGAGTTAATTCTGAGATGAACTCTTTACTATAGGTCTTGTTCATCTGAACAACTTTGCCGAAGACGGGAACCTTCTATCTAGTCAAGATGTTAAGTTAGGGCAAGCAGTTCAAAATTAATGTCATACTAGAGCCGCCTTGGGAGTAAATTCTGAACTAAACTCTTTACTTTAGGATAAATCTTACCCATCTGAACAACTTTGCTGAAGATGGGAACCATCTATATGAGCAGGATCTGTAGATAGTGTTATATGATGTGTATGGCGCAACTTGATCACTTCAGCATTATCTATTAAGTATATTCGGTCATACACTATCCATAGTTTTGAAGAACTTGTATTCTTGAATATCTTTGCAGCAGAATAAGGTCACATCCTATTTGAATGGGATCTCGTGATGTAAACATCTCTAACATCAAAATATGCCACTTCATAGGAATATTTTTAAAATGACCTCTCATCTTAAAATAAACTTTGATAATGTAAACTAAAAGTACAAACTAAATTTAACCAAATTTACCTAACAACACATTAGAAATTTCAAAAATCCGTTGAACCTTCGCTGAGATATGACAATATGAATTTGGATTCAAATTGACCCCTAAGGTACAGACAACGTAAGTTTTTTTTTGCACAGACGAAGTGTTAAAATTCGATTCCCTTGGTATTTTCACAATGCCTGGAATATCCTTCACAATCGTCTTGTAATTGCAGGGTGTCGACTTAATGACGAAACATAAATACCCTGATTTTCCAGTCGTTTTCCCAAAAACAAATTCCAGACAGGGCTAGTGTGATAGAAATAAACGAAATCAAAAAATGAGTGAAGCTAACTGATTAAAGCTTCATGCGTGAATCTACCGTTTTGGTACCATACTTTACTGGAAAATTATTCACCCGATTGAAGCGATTTGGACGGGGAGAGTGGAAATACCAACTCCCTGTCAGGCATGCCAAATCATTTGCATTCATTTCATACATTCATTTACATTCATTTGCCTCTAACTTTTTTCATCAACAGCATTCCGCAAAATGATGTATAGAGCTTTTGTAGGTTTTGGTATAAGCTACAATGCTCATGCTTTTGCTCATAACTCAAAACTGTATCTCTTATGCATCACGAACTAGAGCGGGCAGAACTTGCTACTGTATTTCACAGTTCATTTTGCGGAATGCTGTTGAAGAAAAAAGTTAGAGGCAAATGAATGTAAATGAATGCACGAAATGAATGCAAATGATTTTCCATGCCTGCTCCCTGTTGGTAACATTTCGTGGATAAAGGATGGGCTCTTCTCCCCATTCGTTGGGGCATCTTCCTGTTTGGGGGCTTGTCTTTTTGACCAATTGTGCGATCATGTCGCTGGAAGGAGATTCTTTACTGTCCCGTCGATGCGTATAACTTTGCTCATCGATCCACCCGTTTTTTGCCCTTCATAAAGCGACATGTTGAGGACAATCAGAGGTTATTAAGTTTGATCAAGACAAACAGAGAAGAGAGCCCACTGCTATCGGACTTAGTTTCCGTGCTACAATTGGTGGTAGACCACTGCATACTTTACTGGAAATTTATTGCTTTATGGTTTAATTATTAGACTCATCATCCATAATAGGCACAATTTTAGAGTTTTGAACGTTCCAATATGTGGCTCCTATAATAGAGAAAAACCCTTGTTTTCTTTACATTCTACGATCTCTAATCAACAATCAAGATTAGATTAAAAAAAAAACAAAAAAATAAGTGATTTAAAAAAACTAACAACTTTATCAAACTCGAGATCTTTTACATTTAAATGCAAACGAATATTAAAAATTTGTACTAATGCGTTATCCATTTTTTTAAAGTCCTACAACTCACGTTTTGGTTTTGGTTTAGGAAGCTGAATAATTTTAATTTTTTTATGCCCGGATTTTTTTTTAACAAATACGTGATCTCGATTCATCACATTTTATTTTATTTTTTTTTCAAAACCCCAGGATATTAAAAGTTACATCATAGGTGTCTTAGTCTAGAATCTTGAAAATGTTTCTTAGTTTAACAGGGTGTCGACTCAATGAAGAAAACTAAATTCCCTGATATTTCCTGACTTTCCAGTAAATTCCACAATAATTCCAGGTACAGTTCCAACCCGTTTTTGGCAATCCCATCGGCTATTGCTTTCCTCAGTACTATACTAGTGCCTTCTGGACATTTTTTTCATGAAATACCACATGGACCTCTAACCGATGAAGATTGATCCTATGCAATTTCAAATTGAATAAAGCGTTCGATACATTCTATAGAATACAAATAAGACATAAATCGCGTCTTGCCAAAACCAGGAAGGCAGCGCCTTTAGAAAAATACACACATTTTAAACGTGGAAAACGCCAGGTAATCAGTTCAAGCAGTAACCGGGATGTTACGGATGTGTGAAGGAAACTGCAACCATCTCGATATAAATCTACTTTCCTGGATCTTGAATTTGACTCTGGGACACGTTCGAAGTATTCACAATTTGTCTATGAAAATT